GCTCGTGTGGAGTCCCACATCATGGCTATCACTTGCGGACGCCCTTCTCCGGCAGCATGAGTTGCGCATGGTTGTGCTCGACTTTCGAGGTGTCGCATTCCCCCTCCTCGAGTCCGATCTTCAACGCATAGGAGCTGCATGGCCTAACCTACAGGAATTGCATATCTCCCACGCGATAAGTGGCGACGCAAGCACCATCCCATCTCTCAGCGCTGTCTATTATCTCTGCCGCACTTGTCGGTTCCTACGTGTCCTCCATCTCCCCGTCATCACGACGACAGGATGTCTTGTTCTAGCCAGTAACGAGAGCGCCTCTGCCCGATCCTCTCCTCATCACCCACCTCTCCGGCATCTGTCTTCCACCGTACTGGTCCTGGAGCATTCCGCGCCTACGTTTGCGGACGTTTTGACGCGGCTATTCCCACTTCTACAAATGGTCGGCCCACCCACTGTGTCGAAGGCTTGGGCCTCGGTATCCTCGTCGCTCTCTACCTCTCAACTCCACCGGAGCTCCACTTCGCTTTCATCCAAGTTCCTTGCTGTCGGAAGGGGACATGTGCAGGTCAGTGCTCGACCCATTGAACCAGCTGGTCTTGTCGCTGACAGACATTGCGGCGGCAGGGAGCCTAACTCCTGCAAGCACTTAGGCCGTGGGTGATAGCCCTGTCACCTACACCCTAGTCGCCTCCCCGCTGGACCTTCTTGTCGAATCTGTCTGTCTTGCTGCATCGCTATCTTGCTATCTTGTTGTCCTACTTTCTTGCTGTCTGTCATGGATCATTGCTGTCATTGTCTGTTGTTCGCTGCTCTCGTTGTCGTCTGTAGTTACAAAATGTATATACCCTGATCCATGTACCATATCTGCACATATATTCTACTGTACATAAGTCCTTGTATATACCATACTGTTTGTTTGTGAGTTGTAATATACCATACTCCCCTGTGGACCCAGCAGACAATGAACCATGCAGGTGTCACACTTCACGCCGCCAATCACGGCGCAGGGATGTCCATTGTGAGCGCAAGGAACTTCTGCAGGTTGTGCTGCAGCGCGTCCGGAAGCTCACAGAACTCCTCTGCATGCTTTGTGATCTTCGCGACGTCGCAGTCCATCGGGATGAGGTCCGTCGACTCCATGAGCTGGGTTCGCGCGTCTCAGCCACCACTCTCATATTCACACATCATTAAAAACAAACGCACCTCGAGCGCGCTCTCGACGTGCCCCGCGTCCTTCGCGTCCATCGCCTTGCGCACACGAAGCATGCTGATGACCGCGTCGCGCTCGCGGCCGACTGGGCGGTTCGTGCACTAGTAGTGGCGCAGCACGTCCGAGGCCGTGCGCTCGACCGTGCGCGCTTTCTCGTCGACACTGGGCTGCGCGAGCGTGTTCCCCAGCGCTTGCGCAAGTACGGAGATGACGGTTGTGTAGTCACCCGCGAGGTTGTACAGCTTGATCGCTTCCGGGATATGGTCGGCCTCCTCAGACGACTTCACATTGCAGTTGAGGATGTGCTTGTTGTACTCGCGCGTGTCGTCGAGCTTGAGCAGGAGTGCGTTCTGCTCGATCGTGCCGCTCTGGAGCAGTGTTAGCGAGGTGAGGTTGCCGGAAATGTGGGGTACACACGAAACGCGTCCCGGGCGATGAGCATCACACTGGGGCCCGAAGTACACATAAACTTACAAGGTGTCACATCCGACGTCTCAGCCCGTGAGGGCACACGGAGCAGACCGTGATACGCGAGTGCAATCGCAAGATGGACGGCCTCCACCTCGGTTTTGTGGTGGTCCCACAGCGCCGCGACAGCCTGCGTCCACTCATGAGCATGCAATGGCAAGGGGTGATAGAGCCAACTTACTCTTTCGAACTGGCCGCACATGAGAAAGACACCTGCCCAAACGCCACGCTTGACGCCCTTCTGGCCAGGCATGCCATCATATGCCGCTCGCCGTAGCTCAGCAGCACCTCCGCAAGTCCTCTCAGGCCACCGAACTCGTCCTCGTCAACCTACGAAGCTAGTAAGTACCAATATGCATCGATCAGTACGGAAAGCAAAGTTACCATCGACAGCTGGAACCAAAGCCAGTCCTCCGTGGTGACCGTGACTTGCGCGACGCTCCTGCGCGCCGGGTCGATCTTACCCAGAAGCTTGTATAGTGCGAGTTTGAACTGGTCTGCCGTCGCAGAGTGGAGCATATGCGCGTTGTACGCTGTGTGCAACTGGTCGCGATGTGGTTTGGGTAGCCGTCTGTCCGCAGACTCGACCCATGCCCTCAGGTGGCTGAGGAAGCTAGATTCGCGGTGTTCAATCGCTTGCTGGAGGCGCGTTGCTTCTTCCAGCGCTTCTTGCGCGTGTCCGGTGCCAATCAAATAGAATAGTCTTGCACAGAGAGGTTGGCTCGCCACGAGCTATGCACACTTTGTATCAATAGGACGTCCCCGGAAGAATTGTAGAGAATATACCTCAATCCTGTCCTCCCACTCGCCATTGCGGTAGTGGCGCAAAAGTATGTACGCCCTGATCTTGTTGGCCACGCTCGGGTCACCGCCCAATCGCGCCTCCGTTGCACGCGCTTGGATGGTACGCTCAATGACGTCCCAATATTGCTCCTGCAGCGCTTGGCGTGCGCCCTTGGCAATCTGCCTGCGGAGTTCAACAGCCTCGCGTGATTCACGATCACCCAAATATGCACGAGCATACTTGCGCTCAATGAGTGGCGCGTTGAGGATGTGCGCGCCGGTGTGTGACAATGGGGGGAGCGACGCGGGCTCCCCGGTGATTTTGGCCAGGACATGAAAGTTCTGAGTGGTTTGTTGCGACCGCGGCTATGTGGCGGCGGTGAGCGCGAGGTACAATTTCCTAGTTTACAATCGACTCACGTCAGAGTTGGTGAACTGCGACGCCTGGACGAGTGCGTGGACGATGGGGTACAATGTCCCGCGCAGTCGCGAGGCGTTGAGATCGGCAACGACACGATCATAGGCCATCATCTTGCTCTGCATTTGCAGGGTAGGTGCTGGACCCACACTCACCTGAACCGCAAGCCAGTGTCAGTACGATGGACCGACCCCGGGGAAGGCTGCTAGTTGCGGTATATGGCACTCACAGATAGCAAGTTCTTGCCATGCGTGCTCTTCTTGAGATCCGCCACCGCCCTGTTCTCCCCGCCCACACGCGCGCCGAGCTGCTCGAAGACGCGTTTCTTGCGCGCCTCCCAGTCTCTCCGACCTCGGTCTTCGAGCACGCGGTAGAACTCCTCCTGCGTCTCCCTTCGGCCCTCTTCAATTGTAGATATCAGGTTCTGTTCGTGTGCATGGCTCAGGTAGCCCGCGAGATCAGTGTCTTGGAGCGCTTGGAGGGGAGAAAAGGTGGTCTGGGTGTTCAAATGTGCGATGGAGTTTGCGAGTGCGGGAGCATCGACATGAGTCTGCGCAGTTGATGTACCCGTTCAGTGCTCCGTGGCTCTCGATGCCTTCGAACCCAGCGCCGTGAGCACCACTCGACATACTCGGAGTCGGTTTGAGTATGTAGCCAGTGAGTGAGGTCGCGCGCTTAGTGACAGAATCACTCTTGTTACGGTGACTCGTGACACTGCTGAATCTCACTTACTTGAGCAGGAAGCCCCCATTTTTGATAGTTTTACCCCTACCGTAGGGTCCTGTTAAGCTTATTATGATACAAATTAGGGAGCTCAGGGCTACCTGCCGCCAACGATAAATCATATTCAGCATGTCACGAAATGTGTCATGGGCGCTTCGCACGGCGCTTACCGCTGCCATTGCTCTGCAGGCACTTGTCCCATACGTGCTTGCACTCTCCAGACTGACATTGTAGGTACCTCCTTGGCCAAGACTCCGGCTTTCCCGCCGTCAACTTCAACTCCTGGCACACCAGCCAGGGCTCCCACATCGACATGCAGGTCGACCACAAAAGTGCGTGCAGCCTTTCCCTGTCGTGCTTACAGTTCTTCCCGCTGAGGCCTTCTTCGCTCAGCTTGATAGGCACCATCGGTGCAGGGTCCACAGTCCTGCTCAAAAACATCGGGAACGTCCTTCCTCTGAAGACGTCGAAGACAATCGCGGTGGTCGGAAATGGCGCGATGAACTCCTTCAAGGGCCCTACCGGGTACTCTGACCGCTCTGGTGATGACAGCGTCCTCGGCATGGGCTAGGGCAGCGGGCGGGCGAATACATAACGGCGTGTTGCGAAACCGTTGCGCTAACTTAATTCATAGCACGGATTTTGTCCACGGAACAAGTGGGTTACCCGCCATGTAAGTACTCAGTATCTTGCTCGCTGACTCTACCTCCACGCTCCCCATTCGGTACCTGCGTCTTCGTCGCCCCAGCACAGTCCCCGCACTCACGCGCACGCACACTGCCCATCTCGCTGCCCTCTCCTCAAACCTCTCATTCCCCGGAATTCGCACTCGCACTCGACTCGACCATGGTCCGCGCACCGAGGCAGACCGACGCTCTCGGTGCCAACTACGCTACAAGGGCGGGGCATGAGCGAGCTTTGGAATATTTGACGGTCACCGCGTGCCGCAGAAACCTGGCAGGAGACATGTGCGCGATCATGCGCGTCCACGCGTTCCTCGAGCAATGGGGTCTCATAAACTACCAGGTACGGATATATGCGCGTCTCAGCGGCCCCTGCGTTGCTCAGGCCCTCTCAGATCAACCCAGACCAGCGACCTGCTGCCCTCGCACCCCCTTTCACCGGCCACTTCCGCGTCACCCTCGACACTCCTCGTGGTCTCCAGTCTCTCAACCCTGGAACACGGCCAAAGGATTCGAATGCTCAGGCCGCTGTCAATGGTGCCACGAAGCCCTCCCCCACTCCCGCATCCCTCGAGCTCCGGAACTCGATATACCAGACTTCAGCCGAGTCTTTGCGTCCTGTCTTCTCCACCGAGGCTGCATCCCTCGCCAACGGCGCCAACGGCATCTCTGGCGATAACCCCACGACCATCAAGTACCAGTGCCACACCTGTGGCATCGACTGCACGTCTGTCAGGTTCCACTTGCTCAAGCAGAAGAGCTTTGAGCTCTGCCCACCTTGCTACCTCGACGGCCACTTCCCATCCCACATGTACAGCGGCGACTTTGTCAAGCTCACGAGCACCACCAGTGCTAACGGCGTACACCAGGCAGCGGGCGCTGCGGCCGACGACGACTGGTCGGACCAGGAGATCCTGCTCCTGCTCGAGGGTGTCGAGATGTACGACGACGACTGGTGGGCCATTGAAGAACACGTCGGAACCCGCTCCGCACAGCAGTGCATCCGCAAGTTCCTCCAGCTGCCTATCGAGGACCCCTACCTTTCTGCGGAGGGCGACCTTGGCCCTCTGCGTTACACGCGCGTGCTGTTTGAGCAGGCAGACAACCCTGTCATGAGCGTGGTAGCTTTCCTCGCAGGTGTCATCAGCCCCGGGGTCACAGCGGAGGCCGCGAAGACTGGTCTTCATCAGCTCACGGACGGGGACTCGAAGGTTGCGCCTGAAGAGGACCAGAAGGAGGGTATCAAGGTGGACAGCAAGCTCGTTGAGGGCAAGCCCGCGGAGGGCGAGGAGAAGAAAGGCGACGAGAAGATGGACTTGGAGGAGAATAAGCTGAAGGAGGAGGGCGCGACCGCGCAGGACGACATGCAGGTCCACGCCGAGTCGCAGACGCAGCGCGCGGTCAAGGCCATCCCGCACTGGAAGGTGGTCCGCGTGGCGGACCTCGCGCTCAAGCTGGCGCGCTCGTGGATGCGGAGGACCTCCAGATCCGCTCGATGCTCGCGTCACTCATCAAGCTCACGCTCACGAAGCTCGAACTCAAGACGGCGCAGTTTGACGAGCTCGAGGACGAGCTCGAGGACGAGCACAAGAGCCTCAAGAGTGCGCGGATGACCCTGGTCAACGAGCGTGTCAACCTCCGACGGCTGCTCGACAATGTCAGGAGCGAGCTCGCGAAGCACGGCGCGACGCCCATCCCCGGGCTCGCGAACGCCGTCGCGCAGGCGCAGACGGGACTCGGCGCGAGCGGGCAGGGTACGAAGGTGAATGAAGTCCAGGGCGGGGCTCCTGCTGAGAGCGACCAGGGCCGGTAAGCAGTGGGAACATCGCGCAGTTGAGCTAGTCGTGTGCGGTTGCGGACCAGTCTCTGTTTCTCTACGTCCTTTAGCTGTCTATTTATGCTTCGTACATCATACGTTTCGTGTGTATCTTGCTCCCGAGCCTATACATTATTGTGTTGTATTCTTGCCACATCCTGACCGCGCTGCAGTCTCGGATGCCCTCTGCCCCGCTCGCAGACGTGTGGTGTCGCCGATGACGACGTCTCGCAGCGCGTCGAGGGCGAGCGAGGCTGAATCGAAGCGGCCTGTCAGGCGGCCCCAAACTCGCCAGCCGCTCATTGGCTGCACACAGGCGCCCACGCCCCGCGCGGGCGCTCTCTCGATCTGCGATCCGCCTTTCTCTCTCTTCCCTCGACCTTGGTCCTTGGACTCGAGTCGACTTCGCTGCTCCGAGGCGGTCGACCTTTGCCATCCTCGACCGTCCTCTTTGCGCACCCTCGGTGTGCTCCCGCTCTGTGTAGGTACCCTTTCCCCGCCCCGGCTCTCCTGTGATTCGCGTGCTCATCGTCTACGTACACCATCGACGCCAGTACATAAGTAGTCGTATATCGGCCGCGGAAGCGCGAGCGGGGAGAGGTGTAGCTTGCCTACTCGATGTCCCATCTCACGGAGCATGACCTCTCGAACTCGGCCGCTTTCGACGTTGCACACGACTAGCAGGCGGCCATACTAACCTAGTTCGTGCGCCGCCCATTGCAACGCCATGAACGTCTTGCGCGTGTTACAGAACCACCCAAACGACGTCTATCTCGAGCCCGGCCACGCAGTCTTTCAGCAAGACATGTTAGATGATAAACCACTTCAATTCCACACTACAAACGTTACATGGTGAGTACTAAGCTACTCTACACGTCTGCGTAGCAGCTACTGATGCTCGTGATCAGTTCTTGTACAGTTGTTAGCTCGACCGGCTCTTGTTCGCGCGAGTCTACGACTCCATGCGCCGTACGAGCCACGTGTACGTGCGTGTCGGCGGACTGGACGCGGGAATCGACGACGCGTGTGCGTCACTCATTTCGCGAGTCCTCACGGACCTAGAGCAAGAAATCGGTCAGTTGCACCTCCTGAGCAAAGAGTAGAATGATACTTATCGATTGCGCACGTCGTACAGATGGCCCGGGTCCGCGTTGATGGTGGGTTCTTGTGTGCGCCGTGCGGTGCATCTCGCGAGACCTACCTGCTGTGTACGAGACAACGACACGGAGACGTTTCTGCGGCGTCGCATCTGGCGTGCGTACCGATGGCCGCGGCCGCGACTCGATCTTGGAAAGCGACTACTGCGCGAGCACATGCTCCTGCCTCCTGGCGATCTCGGATGTCCGCGCACGCGTGCACATCACCTCTCGCGAGGAGCAGTGGTCCGCACGGTACGTCTTCGTCTTCACGTGCGTCCTGCGACCCCGGGCCCACCTCTGGGCCTTCTGCAGACTACGCAGGAGGCCAGAACTACACTACAAAGTATATATGGTGAGTACTACTACTGCGTGCTAACCCTCCCTCCGCCCCGCCGTGCTGATAAAACATGGTCAGTGATCGTTTATTTGTCGACTAGCCGGGGCGAGTTACCGCTCGTTCGCGCCGCTCTTGAAGCCGTTTTCCACGAGGCAAGTGCGTGAACGGCTTGCTTTCGCATAGGGTGGGATCCAGGGCCGGTACACGTCGCACAGTCGGGCTCTGCACGACCCTGGACTCGTCGCATCGCTGGGGATAGGAAGGAGATTAGTTGTGCGTGCATGGTTACGCGATCGGACGGACTCACGGGCATGTAGGATCGTCTAGCGGGCCGCAGATATCGTTGAGGTCGTGCGAGTGAGAAGCTGCGTGCCCGGGGCACACGGCGGAGACTCGGGGCGCGAGGCGAGCAGAAGCAGGGCGCTGTGAGCGCGTCGTCCTCAGGACAAACTGGATATCCGCACTCCATGTAAGTACTCGGTGTCTGGCGCTCGTGTACTCCATGTCCCCATCTCGCGGAACATCACCTCTCAAACTCGGCGGCTTTCGATGTTGCACACAATGAGCAAGAGAGCATAGACATCCGTACTAACCCAGTTCATGCGCGCACCCATCGTGCCGCCAGGAACGCCGCGTATCGTGTTGCGGAACCGTCTAGTCGACGTCTATATCGAGGTCGCCCACGCAGTCTTACAGCAAAACACCACTACTCGTACCTCGTCACGGTAAGTACTACGACCTTCCCACGAAACACACCAAACTAACCGAGCATCCACCAGCCCATCGACGCGATCACTGCTCGCGCGAAGAGTGGCGGCACAACAGTGACCTCTTAGCTCACTGACATCTTAGCTCACTGACACGGACCTGACCAGCGCCGCAAACGCTGCCAGTTGCAAGGACATTGTGTTCGTCTTCATCGCGGCCTACAGCGGGTAAGCTTTCACATCGAGCGCTGGATGAGGGGCATTGTCGTTAAATTTACTTACAGTGACTCGGAGGGATACATCACCGTCGAGCATGTGGCGGGCGATCACAACGACCTCAGCGCCTGGCCATGGCCCAACGGGGTGCGTATTCACCACCTCTACCAGGGCTACTGCTCGTACTCACATACGCATCTTGCAGGATGCACTCGTCAAGCAGGTCGCAAGCATCAACAAGAACACCGTCGTGGTCGTCAACAGTGTCGGCCCAATCGTCGTGGAACAGTGGATCAACCACCCCAACGGTGAGTGCGACGGCTCTTCATGGCACGCGACCCATTTATTGACCGGTCCATGCAGTTACCGAGCCAGCCGCGCTTCATGCGCATGAGCCACTCCACGCACTGTAGATAGTACACCGCCTCCGACGGCCCGATGAGCGCAGAGGTGTGTGTGCGAGCTGCGTGTAGAGTGTGCGGAACTCGGCCGTGTTGTACGGCCGCGTGTCGCCATCGCTGCACTCAATTGCGGGGAAGAGCTCGTCGGAGTCTGTGAAGTCTGGGGTGCTGCGGGGCATGCAGGCGCACTCGGTGGGGCGGACGATGCGCGGGGCGAGTAGGGCGAGCGAGGTTTGGTTGCGGGATTGGACAGCCCGGATGGTTTCTGCGACGAGCGGGACTCAACACTGTAAGGGGCCATTAAGAGGCTCGGATGCTCGCCGTAGGGCAGGTCTCCGTGGGAATAGCCGGAATATTGCGTTACGGGCGTTGTGACAGTACGCGACAAGCGCCAACGCCACGTCGCGACGCGTCCGCTCGATGCGCTTTCCACACTTCTTACACCAGCTCTACACCTCGCCTTCATGCCCGAGCTAGATATCCTGCACGGCTTCGAGTATATCACGAAGCGGCTACAACGCCAGTGGACACAGAAACATAAAGCACCTTTCAAAGGTCTGTTCTATGCCAACTTTCCAAGCAGTGGGCGGGCCACCTTGGCGCGGACTGACACGTATTGGTTACCTTGTACTAGCCTCGCTGCAAATTTTTCCTCGAGTCTTTGCTCTTGGAACACACGGCACTAATGGGCGGAAGGATGGGGGAACAAAAGGAAAGGATTACCAGAGCTGCACAGTGGAGACTTCGTCTTCCCTGTTCGATTACGTCGACAATCTCGAGCCATGTCCGGAGAACTACCAGGCAAACTCTCACGATGTAGCCAGATCGAAAAACGAGGAATACGCTCGCTATGTCAAGCCATTGCAATCCGGGGAGCTCTTTGTCAAGACGAGAGGGAAAGAGATCATCTTCGCAGCTGGATATGTGAGTACTTACTCGGTTTCCTCAAAGATAAGTATGTTCACCTCTCTGATAGCACGCTGTTCGCGTACATTTCGGACTCGAAGGCACTATCGTCATAGTTCCCACCTCCGCATATCACGAACTCATCTCGAAGGACGCCCCTGGAAACAGCACGACAAAACACCGGGCCAACAAGATGCGCAGCTTCGTTGTCCCTCCGGAGCTCACCACGCCGGGTGCACGCAAACTCTCTAAGGGTTCAACGCAAACGGCCGCGGTATTTGCGGCCGTAGTGGGACAAGAAGACACCATTCTCATCACCGATCATAACCGCCTCACGCGTCTCCACATGATGAGCCGGTCAAGCCATTGGACCGCTGATGATTTGGACAAGGTGTCTGTGGTGAGTGAACGATATCCTCCCAACCTCTCAGACTTGCTGAACTGCGCTATAGTACTGGCCTTTCTTATGGAGTCGTAACCATGGTCCTGACTGGATCTACGAGACGGACGATGCGTTGAAGAATCTCGATCAATGGCGGGAAATTGTGCTTCAGACTCTGTCGGCAGCCCCGGTAAGGATTGTCGCCCTTAGCTCCTTATGATCAGCATTTAACGGTGTGTACAGCACCGAGAGCCAGCAGGCTGCGACGGCGCAGACAAGCAGCAGCAGGGCGAGCCGGGTCCGGACGAGGAAGGTGACGCCTCACTGGACTCGAACAGCGATGAAGATGAGCACGAAGACGCGCTGGGCGACCTGGCACTCCTGGTCAAGACAATACGCTCGACACGCTCGATCCTACAAGCGTTACTTCACACTCAGCAGGTTTACAACGGCTATGGAGCCCACACTGCAATGGATCTACTCCACCGTCTGGGGATCTGGCCTGGGATGCCTCTGTTCGAGTTCTGCTCCAACGACGAGCTATACAGCCTCTTGAGGAAAATCCTGCCCGTCGACGCATCTCAGTACGTCTCATCCACCTATCGAACTCGCTGTCTCTCGCTGCCCAACCGCGAAGCCGCATTTGCTTTCAACTACAAGAGCGACATCAATTTCGTCAATCAATTTCTCAAGGTATATCGCAAGTGCTCTGTTAAGATGTCCAGAGAACAGTACAATATGTACGTCAAAAACGGCCTCTTCAATCCATTGCATACCATCGGTGATCATCCGCTCCCATGTCTTCTTACATTTTGTGTTCGTCGAGCTGATAGATTGATTTAGGCGCACCTTACGCGTACACGGAGGCCGAACTCTTATCGGACGATGAAGTGGAGTACAAGATGATGCCGGTCTTCAGGTATGAGGACGGCGACGTCATGTACTCTGCCATTCAAGCTCGGCGCCCCTCACATTGGCGAGGAGCGGCAAGTATCCCGGTAGGTCGACACCATCGAGTAAAGTTCATAGCCTCGTAGTTCATAAGCCACACAGGGAGTACCTGATGATGTACGCGCCGCTGGTTTCAAAACGACCATAGGGCCTGCCAGGGTAATGCGCAGGCGGCGCAGATGATCCGCAACATGCTTGGGCTGCCCCCGCCGCTGGTACCACCATCACCCCCAACTAGCAGGTGAAACGCGGCCGGGGATGGCGGCGCTGTAAAGTCAGAGTCAGAGCCCCGCGCAGTACCCCGACGTACCCTAGCCTGCGACTCGTGATCGTGCAGCTGAGCCGCGCACCGAAGTGGGCGAGTAGCACTACGGCCGCAGCGGTGTTCGCGCAGAGGCGCGAGGTCGAGCAGGTCGCGGAGGTGCGCGCGGATGCAGATGGGGGTGCGTCTCAGGCGTGGGTGTCGGTCCTGCGGAGTCGCTAGTACAACGACGAGTACTGGCCGCAGCGGTTGTGGACAGAGGACGAGTATGATGGAGACGAGCAGTGGGGTGTGGCCGCAATTGGGCCGCTTCCGAGGGCCTAGAGACGGCCGGAGGAGGTTGAGGTGGAGATAAATTTCATGATGAGTCGACAAGAGCTCATACACGCGCCAGAGTTTCGTCCGTCAAGGTGGTAAAGGCAATGCTCACGTAAATCCAGCGTATTTCCAGCTGTGGTGGAAGGACAGCGTAGCAGAAGCCGGAGCACTGTTCGCCCATGTGAGGTCGTGTATAGGTTTGATGGCTCGCAACGTCGGTACAGAGGAAATCTTGCAATGTCAGGCATGAAGCGGTACAACAGAACAGGGTTACTACTGAACGCCGGGGACGGCCGCTACTGCTGAGGTATCAGACGTGTCTCCAGAAGTCACTTTGCTCGAGCTCACCTCCCGATGACTGCCGCGTGACACGGTCGGTGGGTTGCACGTAGGCTTTGCTCACTCTTCGCCTCTTGGTTAGCGGTTGACCTTGGCAGATATTGTTCGCCGCAGAAGGATATGCCGCTTGGTGTACAGACGTGTCATTCCCGTCCTCTTTGTCGCTATCACCGTACCCATCCGCGCCCGACCCATCATCATCAGTGCCGGGCTCGAGACCGAACGTCTTCCGCAGAACAGAGGCCACGGCCTCCTTGGCCTTTGGGCCACGGTTGGCTAGGCGTTCCAGCGACTGCGCATGTGGGGTTTTGCGAGCCGGTCTGCCCCTCTTCCCTGTACGTTCCTGTGGCAAAGTATATTGGCATTAACTTCGCTGACCGATCAAGATAGGTGATCACATACCACCGCCTTCCGTCCTGGCTTTACCTCAACCAACTTCCAGTCATACTGATTGTTCTTGAAGACGTTGAACGACCGAGATGTGAAGGTGCGAGTACCGCCCAGTGCGGGAGCGTGTCCTCCCAGGGGTGCAGCTTCAGCCAGGCATAGACGATGTGCAGACGGCGCAAGGCGGGAAACGGCGCACCCTCGGGGCCGTTTGCGCTGGGCAGCGGCAGCTGTGAGCCATCTTGCCTCAGTTCCGTCCACTGCGGTATAGACTCACTTGCATGCATAACATTGACACCCCAGGCGTCATTGAGCGCGTATCCAACCTCTTCCATGGTCATCCGTCCCTAATCCAAGGATTCAACACTTCCCGCCGACTACCAGATCGAGACCACATCCCATCCCGACCCCAACTACATTACCGTCACAACGCCCGTGGGCACTACAACACAGGCAACCAACAATGTTTTCAACTACGGTGGAAATACCGAACATGCCCCCTTACCCCCGCCGCCAGCAAGCCACGAGCCGGAGGCACCCATAGTATCGCAAGAAACCTTGAAGCCCGCGCTCGACTACGTCACCAAGGTCAGAACGTGATATGCAAATGAGCCGGAGATGTATAGGAAGTTCCTGTCGATTCTCTCGGAGTCCTCTGGCACGATGCAGGATCACAAGGATATCCGCGGAATGGAGTCGTGGTCGGTGGCGTGCTTGTCGGCCAGATATCCGCAGGGCGAGACGTTGCGCAAGATCGGCGTGCTGCTGCAAGACGCGCCTGATTTGATGCGCGACTTCATACAGTTCCTGCCGGACGAGCAGACACAGAAGACGAACTCGCGCGCGTCGCGAAGCTGGAGGAGCAGAGGAAGGCCGCGGAGCCGAAGCCGAAGAGAGGCGGCGGCGACGGGCACGCGTCATCTTCTACCGCCGTCCCCCAGAAGAGGAAGAGAAAAGTTGCAGATCACGACAAGGAGAAAGAGCCTCCTGCGAAGAGCAGCGCAAACAAGGTACGTCTCCATCTGTTGCGAGAAATGGGAACTGTTTGCTCATAGCTTCTACGGAAGACAAAATTGCAAGCGTCGAGCGAGGCACCTTCACCGGCTTTAACTCAGCGGCAGGCCGTCCCTCCGCCTTCTCCACCCCGCGCGCCGCCTCAGCCGCCTCCACAGGCATTCTACCCTCAGCACCAGCAGCCCATGCCTCTCCCCCAACATCTCTCGCAGTCCATTCAGCAATCAAACTCGCTTCAACCCAGCGACGACCGACATTTCTTCGAGCGCATCAAGCGCACGCTCGATAACCGCGACACGTACAACGAGTTCGTCAAACTCGTCAACTTGTTCACGCAGGACATCATCAACACCACCCGTCTTGTGCGGGAGGCGAGGTCATTCCTGGGTGATGGCGAGTTGATGGCGCAGTTCAAGGCTATCCTTGGCTGGGATGAGCGCAAGGACTGGATCGCGGCTGAGGAGGAGGTGTGGACTCGTCCTATGGGAGCGCTGGATCGGCCCAGTCGGGAGCAGCTGCATACGCGATATGGGAGCTTCAGGAAACTTCCCGCCCACGTACGTGTTATGTATCAATCTGCGGGTCGACTATGCTTACACCTTTCTAGGAGGTCCACGTGCAATGCTCTGGCCGCGATGAGATGTGCAATGCGGTGCTGAACGACGAGTGGATCTCGCAGCCTACGTTCGCGATCGAGGATGCAGGCTTTATCGCACACAAGAAGAACATCTACGAGGAAACCCTGCACCATAGCGAAGAGGAGCGGCACGAGTACGACTTCCACATCGAGGCCATACACCGCACAATCCAGGTCCTAGAACCGTTAAACAACAAGATCGCACAACTCACGCCCAAAGAGCGCGCCAACTTCAAGCTGAAGCCCAACCTCGGCGGCGTTGGGAAGGCGATTCACCAGCGCGTGATCAAGAAGATATACAGACGCGACACGGGGCTGGAGGTCTGGACGGCGATGCAGGAGGTGCCAGCGACGGCGATTCCGGTGGTGCTCACCCGCTTGAAGCAAAAGCACGAGGAGTAGAAACGTACGCAGCGCGAGTGGGACAAGGTGTGGCGCGAGGTTGACTTGCGCAACTACCACAAGTCGCTCGACCACCAGGCGGTGACATTCAAGGCCGCAGACAAGAAGGCGGTCACGCAGAAGGTGTTCGTGTCGCAGATCGAGGCCGCGCGTGACGAGCAGCGGGTGAAGCGGGCTGCGCTGATCGACCCGCGCTTTGCACGCACGAAGCCGCAGCACCAGCTCGAGTTCGTCGCGGAAGACCCCGCGGTGCTGTAGGACACGCTGAAACTCGAGTTCTCGTTCCTCGACCGCACGCAAGGCCAGATCGCGCTTGTGGACCGGAAGAAGATCGAGATGTTCTTCAGGTCATTTGTCCCGTTCTTCTTCATGCTCGACCCTGTTGCTTTCAACGCTGCGTTCGTCGCCCACCATGAGTCGATGGATGGCGACGGGGAGGTGGAAGAAGACGTTGAGATGAACGGTACCAGCGGAGGCAGCTCTCGATCCAGGAAGAAGGGCGGAGGTGGTAACGCGGGCAACCTGCGGAAGCGGTTGCTGAAGAGCGAGCAGGCCAAGTCTAGCCATCGTACGAGGGCTCAGGAGGCTGCCTCGCCGACTGCTTCCCGCTTCGCGTCCCCAGTGTCGTCCGACCCTATGCAGCTCGATGGCGAGCCTGTCAAGGGAGAGAATGAGGTCACCTCTGGTGTTCGGCTGGATAAGAACCCTTCGCGACGACGCGGTAGCTTCTTCACTAACACCGCCTTCTACGTCATGCTGCAACTGCTTGAGGTATGCTCAGTAGTTGCATTCAGGGTGATTCGCTCTGACATCGTGACCCGCAGCTGCTCTACTCTCGACTCCAGCTCTTCAAGAACATCACCGCAGAGTTAGTAGCAAATGGCATGGATCAACCACGCAGTCCCGCGAGAAGTTGTTTGACAACGAACTCGAACAGCATGCCTTTGAGGAGATCATGTGGTACCTGTTTGGCTTGAAGGTCAGTCATCATCTCCAGCATATCCGGTTCTCTCCTGACACCTATATAGCATGCATACAAGCTGTTCACCGTAGACAAGGTCATTGGCGCCTTGATTAAGCAGGTTTGTTGCGCATATACTCTTGACAGCTATTCTGCCTTACATTTTGTTAGGTCCAAGTCATTCTGTCGGATCCTAAGAGCCAAGAGATGTTCGATCTCTTGCGGCGAGAGCGCAAAATCACGTCCCCGACGACTCAAGACCTCAACTGTCGCCGGAATACTGAACGCGTACTGGGTCCTGATGAGAACTTGTTCCGTGTGGACTGGGTATGTACGAGTACATGTGCGAGTTTATGCTATACTAACTGTTTATTTGCCTCTACAGCTCCCAGAGCCTAGGACGATGACGATCCAGCTCATAGGCAAGGACGACAGCGCTTTTGACGACTCCGAAGTCCTCACTGGCTGCTGGCAGTCATATATCGAGTCCTTCGTTTCGGTGTATATTCCACCCTTGTTGCCTCTTTGACCATAACTAACATGTATGCGCAGCATCACTACACTGCAGGCGTGCCTTCCTCGTCCACTATCCGCCGTCCATTCCTCCTTTGGTCAGTCTCCTTACATCGCTCTCCGCGTGTATGCTAACCCCCGCAATGCACAACAGCACGAGGTTCCCCGCATGTTCCGGTGATATGCCTGACATCCTCGCTTGCGGCAGGCTCCAGATCAAAGTCTGCGTGCGCACCTACCGGTTCTTCTTCATCCCGCCCTCGGAGGACGTCGTGATCCGTCTATCCTCTGCGCAAGAGCGCGCGGACCCACACGTGCTAGTCGAACGGCGTACCGCGAAGCGCAAGAAGTGGATGGAGGACTACGCGAGCAAGATTGCGGACGAACAAGAGCCCATTGTGGAGGACACTGAAGGGTCTGCACCTTCTGTCGCTCCCGCGACTGGGGAAGATGTAACATGTATGCTGCTTCAACTTCCGTCTTTCCTCGCTCGCTCACGTATCCCAGCCGCTCCCACAGTCCTCTCCCGTCGTCCCGCCCATCGTCCGTTCTGCGTGCAAGAGCAGTGCCGCTGTGGATGCCCATAGGTCAGCCGCTGATGTCCATCTCTCCGCCTTGACGTACCGTACTCACCGCATACCATTGACAATATACCGGCCGTCCCTGGTGTGCCGCTGTCAGCACATGCTCGCTGACCAGCTCGCAAAATAGCACAAAAAACGTAGAGAAGGGTGGGGAGAGTGCTGGTTCTGCTCTTCCGTCCCAGCCCGCCCTCTTTATACTCATCGTCAGCCACTCCGGGCCTGCACTCGGCCGCCCGCGGCGAAACACTCCGCTTTCGCATGGCCAGGGAGGAGGTGCCATGCGAGCCCGCATCACCATCGCTTGCCGCCGTCATGCACACAAACTACGCCCACGCACCGGCACCGGCACCCTAGCTGTCCTCTACACAACTACATACACGCGCCGCGAATTTGCCAATCTCAAGCCAGGATGAAACGCGCACGCCAACATCCCGAGTCCCCTTCCGCACCGATCGCCTAAGCTCATCCCTGCCCTGTCGTACCGTAACAACGTCGCTATGTACGGGGGCGACAGAGCGCATTCTAGCCGTACCACCGCTTTCCCGCCGCTCAGGGAAACGACACGGCGCTCGCGTGCAGCGGCTCTCCATCGCATGAGCATCGGATTCATCCTAGATCGTAAGTCTCCCGGGCCCTGTGTGGCCCGTCTCCTCATCCTGGCACGGCCGTCTGCGGGTGCCGGGTATGCACCCATCCAACGTGCAGGGTCCAATAGCAGGTGAGTTGCTCGGTGCATTCCCGCCTGGCTGATGACGGACAGGGTTCGCATCACGTCGCGGCACTCTCATCCCGACTCGCGAACCACATGCACCCTTGGTCGAGAAAGAGAGAAGACAGCGCGTGTCGGCAGACGTCAAGGCTGACGGCGTGAGCTCCTCATCCTCCTTCGCCCCGCCCGTGTCAGTCACATACGACGCCTAACGAGCCCACCGCACAGGACACCTCACTTCGAGTTCAGTACTAGCACACATATGACTTGCACGACACGAAATACATTGTTTCTCGCGGCCTCTACCCCGCGATGTGAGGCGGCCTCGACACACCCCATCCCTTTCTCGAGCTCCCGCCCACTAACGCGGTGTACCGGCCACGCTCGTGCATGTATCGATTCCCAAGGCCTGCGCGCATGCGCTGGGCACCCCTGGATCATCCTGGTACGTTCCACACTTGTGCCGCGCTCGTCTGCCGCGCCCCACCCCATCTCACTTCTGTGTGTCATGCCTGTGTTCCAGATGCGCTGCCTCGCCGCCGTATGCAACCCTGAGTAGTCATACGGGCGCAGGGATGGCATTCGTGCGCACCCCCGCCCAAAGCGAAGTGCGTGCGACTAGACTTCTTATTGTGTCATCTCCGGACACATTTAGCATGTCCCTGCTTCGCGAGCAGGGCGGGCTATAGACGGCTTCTTGTTCACCGCACTCTCTTGCGCCTTCTGCGCGACTGAGCGAAGAAGACCAAGCTGCTAGAAAGTGTTGGAACCCTCCTGCTCGTTGTCAGAGTTGTCGGGGGAATGGTCCGGGATCCATTTGCATGCAGACGGATATGCTTTAGCACATATCTGAGGTCTGACATTTGAAGATCCAAGCTGGTAAGGGCGAGTTCAGCCTGACAAAGTCAAGTGAAAGCTAGAGTGACTTGGCTGCAACCGCAGGTAGCCGCCCAGATGCCTCGAGCGAAGCGCTCATAACACACTCTGTAACGCAGTCCGTGACACATTGTATATGATTTATTGTGGGCGGCAGGTATCCCCAAGCTCCCTAATTTGTACTCTAACGGGCTCAGCAGGCCCCTGCGATAGGAGAAAAACTACCAAAAGTGGGATACTCCATCTAAATAAAAGAAACTCAAAGGTGTCACGAGTGACAAGAGCTGGAGTGATCAGTCACCTAAGCGCGCATTCTGCTATGCTTCGTCACCGTCCCGACTGCTATACTCGGTGCCTGCTGTTGCCCCTTGTCCTGGACCTGCTCTAGTCTGCTATACGCATTATCTCTACAGTGACATTGCTGCACCTCATAGGCCTAGCCGGTAGCTGCTCTGCTTCTATCCCTTGCCTTCTGAATCTCGGATAGTATACGGTGGGTGCTCTTTGGAATATATGGATCGCCCTAAAGACCCAAGCAAGCCCCACTCTCCCGGTACTTGCAGTACGAAGCTCATGGGATCACCGCTTCTGCCTGGAACCACGACATCACTTTTGCACCATCAAGCAGCACGGGCTACCTGGTTGTGCGGGATTTGCAGGCTCAGCGAGAAGTGCCTGCACTGGCGTAAGGTTATGGGGCTGGGCACCCTCGTCGGAGGGATGCTGCTGGATGCAAGGATTTGGCAGTCCTGGATTCCTGGTAGGTGTCAGCGGGGAATGAGCGATGTCGCATGACATCCTAACAAAGTAAGTCATTGTTGTAGAATCACTAGACTTGTCGACTCTTCACTTCAGGAGACTCGTTCGGTCATGTCTGCGGAAGATGATACATCGCCCGTGATTATGGTATAGTACCTGAGTAATGCACGCGCCATAGAGAATGTCCGCAAGGTGGTCGCTGAAATCAGCATCGTGGAGCGCGCACAGAAGCTGCAGTCGTAGGCTGAGTCTGATAGCCCTAACGACACCAAGTTGAGGGCAAAGCTCGAGAATGCGGCGGTAGCAAGTTCTCCCTATACAATCACTAGCAGAAGGTGAGCGCAAACTCGAAGCGGAGGAGAGCTTGATTGCTGACCTCGGGGAGTGTCTTGACCGAATTGGCAGTAAAGCCCGCGCCGAGCACGATGGCGAAGGCCGCGCGAGCACAGCGCGAACACTTGCGCTCGTCTAGGAGAGCCTCCTCCTGCATTGCGCGGACGTTCATGTGGCAGGGGAGTGTCTGTGAAGACAATATGGTGAGTGCACTGTCCTCGAATGTCGGGCTATTCAGCTCACACACTCTCAGCCTACCTGGCAACCAGGGAGCTCGTACGACGCCGCACGACTGGCCGACGTTGTCGCATTCCTGCTGGCATGGATCGTCTCAAAAACGCGCCCGCTCTCAGTTAGTCTCGTGCAACAAGAGCATCGGCGAATGGCAGGGGAAGCGCCTCGCCAGGCAACCTCAAACCCCAGGACCTTCGAACGAGAACCTAAGAGACAGCCACTCACATACTCCAGGGACACTACATCCACCTCTGCCTCGTCCTCCGCGCCATCGCTCGGCTCGGCTGGTGTCCCAGACTCGTCCCCAGCTCGTGTTCGTCTCCGGGGATCTTTGTAGGCGTCAAATCGAACAAGGCGCCCTCACAGATCATCCCCAACGCGTCCGAAGCTGGCATGATGGAGGCGTGGGGCTCGGTGTCCGTTCCAGGTGCGTGGCATTCTCGTGTTCGCTCGCTGGTTGACCTTTGAGTGTTGTCAGTGCGAAGCGAACACCTGAGGAGAATAGTCTACTCACGAAGACGCATTTCCAGCGCGTTTGCGATAGCCAGGCCCCGTAGAAGCCACAGGACGCATCGAAAACGCGGCCGAAAGTTGTGCACACCTCCCGGTGCACGTCCAGACACGCGACGGCCGTGCGACGCGCAGGAGCGGCAGCGTACCGCGATTCTGTACCGGCCGCAAGTCCTGCCGCGGAAGAATGTCTCCTGGCCTACAGAGACGTTCAAGGCGCCCCGCAAAGCACGGCGAGGATGCAGAACCACGGTGAGCACGTCGTAATATGTCCAGATGCAGTGCACATGTGGCTCACCAATTATGCTTGAAATGCGCGCAGAAGATCAGGACATCACTTTCGACGTGTCCTCTCTCGCATCCATATGCACCGGACGATGGGTGAGCTCAGTAAACAGGTGAGTGATATATTTGTTCGAAGGAGAAGTCTGAGTTGCGCACTTATCTCGTTCTGTCTTGTATGGTGACATGCACCATTGTTGGGAGGTCCTAATGCCGGGAATACTCGCGTCGTACGAGGTAGTAGCGCGGACAAGAAGGACAGCAGATACGGGACGGAGTAAGAGCAGGAGGAATGGGTTTGGGAGGTGTGGTGGAGGTGTCGGCGGACGAGGAAGACGGCTCGAGCAGTTTGCTTTCAAGCACGGCACCCCATCGGTGATGCGGTAATAATGCCGCACACACCGGGCGGAAACCCATGCGCCATAAACGACGCGAACATCACAGCAGCGAGTCTGAGAGCGAGTCTGAGACGGATTGCTGCACTGGTCCCTGGCTGCTTTGAGTCCGCTGTTTTCCTGTGCCTCTCATCCGACCGCTTCACGGCTGCCATCTTGCTTGTGGTCAAGTGTGGCCAGGAGCTCCTCGCGCACACACAGAAGGCGTACTTCGAGCGCCGCGCCGTTCAGTCCCCTACTAGCGTCTCTTCCAGTCCATCGTCACCAACTACCTCGATGGCATTGCCCAGAACACCGATCTGCAAGAGCAGCAGGATATTTTCGTCGTGCTTTGCACATTAGCTACTCAGGGCGAGTTCTCCGGCCTCTGCGAGCAGCTGTGCCAGCGCCTGGAGTTCCAGTCGAACATTGTGAACTCCTCCGGGCATATGATGCACCCACCTCCGCCGCAATGCTACGCTGACCAACCTCGCTGTTGGCCGCCTCAAGCATCTGGTGAACATCTTGATCTAGAATTTGGTAGGGGAGGAGACGTCTCATTGCAGAGCACAATCATCTTGACGGCTCCCTGTACACCCCTGGGGACTGCACGTCCCCGGCGCCGTACTTGTGGTATAGGCCGAACACAACCGCTGGATCGGCGGAGACCAGAGAAGCATAGAGTCGGTCTCTAGCTGGCCGTCACCATTCATAGACGGTAGGTAGCGGGTATAGGTGCTCGTCCAGCATGCCTATGAGCGTCTAAGGAAGACTGCGATTTCGCTTTCGAGCATCAATTTCGTATTGCATCGCGGTCTATTCGCTCACAGCACTCAAACATTCACCTTGATACATTTTAAGAAGTGCTTTCCAAGCCTTGGATTGCAACAACAAGAAACAAGAAAAAGGCTACGGTGCTACTTCGTAATTACACTACCTCGTACAGTACTGCGCTTGCCTGGGCTACCTCTCGAGTCGGCTTCGCTTCGAGGTCAGCACCCTGACCATCCTTCCCTTCTACACCTCTGCTTGTAGGAATCTAGCATACAA